GGCTAATTACTTTACACACAAATCTACCTGTTCAAGTGGGCTAACTTTGCAATTCTAGTGGTGTTTTGCTGCGCTGCAAGTTACACAAGTGCCCGCTCAGATGTCACAATCTGGACGACCACTCAGAGATGCTGTGCGAATTCCCTCTACACAAGATCTGCCAGAGGAACCCCAGCCATAGGATGAACTATCTCTGCCACAAAGGGCCCCCTCCTGTATGCGAACAGTGCGAAAGAGATGATGCCATCGCCATCCAGCGTCTGAAGGACGACATTGCGCGCAAAGAAGCTCTGCGGGCGGAGCAGGCTGCTCATGATGCGGAATTGGCAGCAATTGAGCTTGAAATGCGTAGGGAGCAACAAGCAAGACAAGATGAGCAGCTTCGCTTTGAGCAAGCAAACGAACGGAGGCAGAGGGAACAGGACTTGCACGAGCTGCGAAATCGTCCACCCATTGTCATCCCGCCTCAATTTACCCCAACCACAGTCAAGACTGTGCTATCTCCGCCAGTATTTCCACCCGCGGCTTCAATACTCAATGGCCCCATCAACAACACGCCTGGGCCAGCTAGCACAGTACCACAGCCGAGTGTACCAGGCTCTTTGGGCACCCAACCCGCATCATCAGCTTCTCCTTCGCCTTCACAGGCTCCCACAACAGCTCCAACATCATCGAATTCTCAGCCACCACCGGCAATGTTGCCACCTTCACCATCTAAGCTTGAGTGGGAGCGACAGAAGATCACCACCGGTGCATCAAATAAAGCAATTGATGAGCTGATGGATATGATTGGGCTTGAGGAAGTCAAGGATCAAGTTTTGAAAATCAAAGCCAAGGTTGATATCACTCTCCGGCAAGGAACAAGCCTCAAAAGCGAGCGTTTCAATATCTCACTTGTTGGAAATCCAGGAACAGGAAAGACAACAGTTGCAAGGCTGTACGCAAAGTTTCTTGTTTCTGTGGGCTTGCTGCCCGGGTCAGTGTTCGTTGAAAAAACGGGCGCTAGTTTGGCTAGTGATGGGGTACAGGAAATGAAAGCCACTATTGGTAGTATCCTTGCGGGTGGTGGTGGAGGGGCGCTATTTGTTGATGAAGCCTATCAACTTATCACCAACCCGGGTGGACAGCCCGTCTTGGATTATCTTCTTGCCGAAATCGAGAATAACGTTGGCAAGCTAGTGGTGATTGCAGCAGGATATAAGGATGACATGGAAAAGTTCTTTGAGCATAACCCGGGCCTTCCCAGTCGCTTCCCATACACGCTGGAGTTTAAAGACTACACCAATCTCGAGCTCAGGGCCATTCTTAAACAACTCATCCAAAAAAGATACAACAGCCAGATGGTCGTCGAGGATGGCCTAGATGGGCTGTACATGCGCATGGTTATCAATCGCATTGGATGGGGACGGGAAGCCAAGGGCTTTGGTAATGCTCGCAAGGTCCAGAATGTGTTTGCTCAAATTACGCAACGACAAGCGCAGAGGGTTCATCATGAGCGCAAAAATGGTTTGCTTCCGAGCGACTTTTACATGACGAAAGAAGATCTCATTGGACCCGATCCGGCGAAAGCTATTCTGAATAGTGCGGCCTGGACGGAATTACAAGGGCTCATTGGTTTAGACAGTGTCAAGAAATCCGTCAGGGCCATGATTGATCGCGTAAAGACAAACTACAAGCGCGAGTTACGAGAGAAGAAGCCTTTGGAAATGTCCCTCAATCGCCAGTTTACCGGGTCTCCAGGCACAGGAAAGACAACGGTCGCAAAGCTCTATGGACAAATCCTTGCAGATATTGGTCTACTCAGCAACGGTCAAGGTACGTTCTTCCAGCTAAAATCTTCCATAATAGCATTCCTATACTGACTATCATCTAGTTCTTTTGAAGAGCCCTTCGGACTTTATTGGCAGCGTCATTGGCGAGTCTGAGAAAAATACCAAGGGCATTCTTTCATCCGCTGTTGGCAAAGTACTGATCATCGATGAAGCCTACATGTTCTACCAAAGTAACTCCGACCATGCCTCCGGCCATAGCGATACCTTTAGGACCGCCGTAATCGACACCATCGTAGCGGAGGTTCAGAATGTACCCGGTGAAGATCGATGCGTCCTACTTCTCGGATATCAAGAACAAATGGATACAATGTTCCAAAATGTCAATCCAGGCCTTCAGCGGCGGTTTCCCAAAAGCGCCTCGTTTGTCTTTGATGATTTCACAAGCGAACAGCTTGGGAAAATTCTGGACTATAAACTCATAAAGGGGAATATCGATGCGACAGACGACGCAAAAAAGCTGGCCCTGGATATCCTTGATCGCAAGCGGTCCCAACTCAACTTTGGCAATGCCGGCGATGTTGAAAATATGATAACGCAAGCAAAAGAACTATATCAGCAGAGATTTATGGATTTGCCGGAGGACCAGAGGCCGGAGGATATGGTTCTTGATCCGATTGACTTTGATCCAGACTTTGCACGAGGCGCTTCTGCAAGCATAAATCTGGATGCGCTCTTTGCGGACGTGGTAGACTCTGACGACGTGAAGGAGAAGCTTCGGGGATATCAGGGCGCAGCTGCTGCGTTTAAAGCAAGAGGAAAAGATCCTCGTACCTTGATACCTACTACCTTTGTTTTTAAGGGCCCTCCTGGTAAGTAAAGCTCTTCCGTCTTGTGAAGCCCTTGAGTTCATTTGCTGACTGTGGCTCGCTCAGGAACCGGAAAAACAACCACAGCACGCAAAGTCGGTCAGGTATTTTACGATATGGGATTTCTCTCATCTGCGGAGGTCATTGAATGTTCTGCATCGGACTTGGTCGGACAATATATTGGACACACTGGCCCAAAAACTAGGAAGAAGGTTGATTCTGCACTCGGTAAAGTGCTCTTCATCGATGAAGCCTATCGTTTGGGTGAGGGGAGGTTTGCTCAAGAGGCCATGGATGAGCTCTGTGATTTACTCACCAAGCCAAATTACATTGGGAAAATCGTGATAATCCTGGCTGGATACGAGCACGATATCAATAACCTTCTCTCTACAAATCCTGGTCTGTCGAGTCGGTTTTCGGAGGAAATCTTCTTCCGCGCAATGACTTCCGAAGCATCCCTTGCACTCCTCGACATGATGCTCGATAAACAAGAAGTCGAACTACCCGAGTTGAAGCAAAAGACAAGTAGGTGCTATAACGACTTGAAGGTGGTTATCGAGGAGATGATGCAACTTCCGTCATGGGGCAATGGGAGGGATGTCAGCACGCTCGCAAAGAACATGGTTCAAGAGGTTTACAGGAACTTTGTAAGGACAAACAGCATGGCCATCTCGCCACAGGATGCACTTAAAGTCGCAGTGGAGATGCTCCAGGAGCGCACGAAGAGGGTAACGAATGTTAATCCCCAGCGGAGATCTTCTTGGGCTGGCATGCCCCCGCCATTGACGATGGGACCTCCGACTCAGCAGGCACCCCCAACCGCAACTAGAACGGCCACGGCTACCAAAGCCCCTACCTACACTCCTAGTGACTCTGGAGACGAGGACGAGGATGAAGAGGAGGAGGAAGAATCCTCGGATGACGACGGCGAGTCAGGCGTCCCCCGCGACAACGGCGTCTCCCTCGAAGACTGGCAGCTCCTTGAAAAATACAAGGAGGAAGCCCGCCTCCGCCAGCTCCAGTACGACCGCATCGAGGAAGACCGCGCGAAGGCCGAGAAGGAGCGAGAACGCCTCGAGGAGCTCATGGAGAAGCTCCGGCTTGAAAAGATTCGAGACGACGAGGCGATCGAGGCTGCGCGGCTCGAGAAGTTGGCGCAGGAGGAGGAGCTGGAGCGACTGCGGAAGCTGCAGGAAAAGAAGGAAAAGGAGGAGAGGGCGCAAGCGAAGCTGGCCACCATGGGGGTGTGTCCGATGGGGTATGTGTGGATTAAAATGCCTGGGGGTTATGTGTGTGCTGGGGGGGCGCATTTTGTGGGTAATGCGTACTTGGTTTGAAGGGTATTTGGGGATGTGCGGGAGGATTGTGGATTTATTGCCCGCAGTGTCTTTTTTTTCATTTTCCACATTTCGTATTTGGTTTTTCATGTATCGGGGCATTTATCACGAATTCGGTAGTTGGGTTAGCGGAGCTGTAGTTGATTTGATTTGATTTGATTTGATTTGATTTGATTTGATTGATTGATTGGCTATAAATATAGTATGGGTATTTGGCAGGATGAGCGGAATGATTTTTTTATATTTTCTATGTTTCTATGGATTTATGGAGGAATGGAGGAATGGAGGAATGGATATCTGTTCTGGCATATAAAAGTTATATACAATACATTTCATGCAAGGCGGGAGTGAATAAGTAGCTATAGGATCCGTGGGATGGGAGCAAGAAGTTAAAATAATTAATCTTATTCCTATTCATTCTCTTCTTCTTCTTTACCTAGTACCTCCCGGGCCCTCCAAAGCACTCTAACCCGGAAAAAATCCGTGAAGAGAAATTTATGGGGAGTTTGCGGGGAGTCCTGTTGAGAGTATTTTCTTCTTTCTCTCTCTCTTTCCTCCCTTCGTTCCTTTAATTCTCTTTTAAATTTCTTTGACTTATAAATGCGTATACGAATAGTACTTAAGTATATATCTACGGAGTAGTACCTATACCTCCAGATCTATATATAACGATTCTTTAATCTGATTTTTACCTTTAAATTTTAAGCAATTTTTTTTTTTGGGGGGGAATCTGAATCTGAACATGCTTGATATCGATATCGATAATGAGCTATCACCTTCTATCACCTTCTTATCCTGCCTTGCCGCCATCGAGAGAGAGAGAGAGAGACCTAAAAGGTTCAGCATACATAGGTAGGATGAGATGCTATCTAGATAATACTTATCTTTTTTCATGTACGCTACAGTTATAAGTATATAGTAGAATTTAGCCTCGTGCCGGTAGAATGTAAGTTTCAGCAAAATTCCCCAACTCCCCCCTAAAAAAACTAGAAAAAAAAAATGAGCAAAAAAAAACAAAAAGAAAGTTCCGTCACCGGGAATTGAACCCGGGTTCTCAGAGTGCACATCTCTTCACCTGGAGGTGAATGAAGAATGAGAGTCTGAAATGCTAGCCACTACACCATGACGGATGTTGTTTCTTGCGTTATAAGTGTCGGTTTGGCTTATAAATCCACGCCACCGTGGGTCTAGCTACCTAGTGCCCAAGGTTGGCAGTTGCGCCACACACTGGACAGGAGATTTAAAAGTCATCTGATCACTGTGAGTGTTAATGAGGTAGGTATACGTAGCTGAACCCTTAACTTGAGGTGCATGTGTACACGACCATGATCGTCATGGATTTCGGAGAATATAGTTTAATTAGGGACGAGGCTCGGTTTAATAACGCCCGACACATATTCCAGCTACGTCAGGAGATTTTCCCCCTCCCCCTCTCTCTTTCTCAGATTTCTTTCTCTCTTCTTCTTCTCCTGAATCGTCATGACATGACCGAACGATCGACGGCGACCGACTCCTCCCTTCTCTCTGCAGGCTCAAGTGCGCTCGGATCATTGCGGGGGATATGGCGCGCGGTAGGGTGGGGGTGGAGATCAGTGGAGGGAGGGGAAGCACCAACCACCACCACCACTTTTTTTTCTGATTGGCGACATGGATTAGTGTAATTGCATTGCATTGCATATCTAGGAAAGAGGTTATTTAACTCTAAAATTTTAAATTAGAAATCCTCCGCCAACTGGTCACGATCAGATGCTTTTCCCTAGGTAGGTAGGCCTTTTCTTTCAATCCAGCAGTTAAATTTAAATGGTAAACGTTAACGTTCGTTTGCTGGGTACCTCTGGGCACGAGTTTATTGGCTAGAGCTGTGGGGCATATTAGTCTCATCCCCAGACCCTCCTGTGATCATGAAGGTACCTAATTACGAATTCCAAGTATCTGGGTGACAGCCAGCGCATAGCCCCATTTCTCAGGGAACTAGAATCTCTTGAAAAGAGGGAGGAGGGACCATTTCTTTGAGTTTCGCCCTTGGGGGGCGGGGGGAGGGGGGGGCAGGAGGAAGAGGCTGAAGCTCAAGCCGCTGCCGACCTGTCCTCGTGCCAGGGGAAAAGGGCCGTGATTCAGCTCTGAGCGACGTCGACATGCACGAGCTATCAGGAGCGCGGGCGTATAATTGAAGTATGACCGGCGTCATTTAAAAAGCAAAAAAGTCTAATTCTTCGTATAAATTATAAATTACTGAAACGAGGAGTGATGGTTGTGCAGCCCAGGAGGGGGAAACGAAGCGTGAGACCTGTCGTGGTAGGTCAACATACGCGGCTCAGCTCATCCTTATGCTCGCCATCGCCAGACCTTTGATAATGGTCTCGTCCTTTTCCCCTCCTAGACTTCACAAAAGACCAATCCACTCTCGTCGGCAGATCGTAATTTGCCGTGATTGGGCGTATGCGTGTTGAGGTAGAGAAGCTTATTCCTATAGATGTGTGATGTCGTTATCAGAAGCTCAGAAGCTATCTGTTCACCTCTTGAGAGATGCACTGGCAATCAAGCAAGGCTGGGGTCGGCGAATTTTTTGGTGTGAAGATCTTGTGGGAACACTAATCTTGAAACCGGTCGCAGTCGTGGTCAGTCCACATTTTTTCGCCTGCGACCAATTGAAGGCATAGCTCGGGAACTCAAAGACACCTTAAAGCCAAGAAAGCATGGAGGTTGATCAACGCAATGGTGGGGAGGAGCGGGGAAATTGTGGATATTGATGTGGGAATGGCCATGGTGGAACTATTCAAAAGGTTACCGATTCCTATGAATGAATACAAGTATTGGAGCCCAAATTGATTGAGTGCCAACGGTATCGGGAGTGAGATATGACGATGAACTCCAATTCCATGGCACATTTGACAGCAGCAGATGGTAGCTGGTATTGCGGATATATAATTCCCACCAGCTAAGGTCTTGATTCTGATGAATTACACCAATGTTAGCATCACACGAAAAAATATATATATACACCAAGAGACTCACCCAGGTCCAAACATCTTCAACTCCACTTCAAAGGAACCCAAACAGCACACCAAGCTTCGAGCTTAAAAATCCAACAAACCCCACAGTCACAAGCAACACCTCAGCGAAACTCAAAGCTATCAACATGTGTCAAACCACGACAATCTACTGTCAGTCCTGCGGCGGAACTTTCAAGACCAAGCGAAGCTGTCCGTTCGCACGAATCCACTGGCACTGCCCACCAAAGCTGAAGGCCATATTCTCGTCTACCAGGGAGACGAAATATGTTACCATTGGAAAATGTGCCGAATGCACTTTGAGGAAGGGGTGGTGGAACATGAATTAATCGGTTCTGTCGAAGGGATGTGCTATCGCTACAAAGCACTTTCCCTAATTCAAAAACCGCCCATCACCACACGGGTTCCCTCTCATACACACACCATCGAGACCAAAACGCATAGATGGATGTGTACCTGAGTGCCGCGCCACAGCAGCATCATTCTCCTCAGCCACCACACCGAGTCGAAGCCTGCAGTTAGCTAGGGGATAGACGCATATGGGAATTGGAAGCGGCCGGGTTATATCGAAATGCAACACTGGCGGCAAATCCGGTAGCAACCCGACGAGCAAGCTAGAGCCGGCTCTGCGAATGTTCTCCTCCTGGTGGCACGAGCACATTTCCCCTTGGAGGAACGATGCTTGGATATCGGATATCCAATTCGAAGTCCAGCACAGAGTGGAGTGGGGGCTCACTTTTTTGGAAATAGTCACGCACCCTGACCCTCAGCGAGGTTATCAACGGGGTGCCCTTGGGGTTTCTGCAGCTGGACAAAAGAGTCACCTTTCTCAAGGATGTGGGGAGTGGCTCATAGTTTTTCTTAGTCTTGTAGTAGCATTTTTCGTTGTTTTGGTGCTTGTCTTTTCTGGTCGAGTTAGCCTCGTAGTTGTCATTCGTTTGTTTAATGGAGTAGCTAGTTTCCCTGTCGAATTGATTTGTCTTTCGAACTGTGACCCGTCCTCCAAGTGATCTGACAGTGCTGTGGGTTCTGCGGCAGTCCAGAGGCCACAGGGGCGTGGGAAGCAATCGAGGCCGACACGCGCTCATCGAGGTGCGGACGGAATGTGGTGGCCTCGTGGGATAAAGTGAGGATTGGGATCGAAGCCCGCGGACGAGTGCGAGGTAGCGACCGATCGAATTAGTCTCGATCCGATGAATTCGTTCTTTTCGGCAATGGAGAGAAGCAACGACTGCCCAGAGTGGCAAAGTGTGCCAAGATCCATGGTTCACGCATGGACCCACAGCCGACCCTGGCAACCCATCCATCTTCACCCTGCCCATCTCGACCTCCGCGCATGCCATCGCAGTCTTCTCGTTCTCGTCTCTCAGCCCAATTGAGACTCAATTCGTGCGCAAACATATCTCAAGGGCATCCGGAACACACGATGCGCACCATCAAGTATGAGTCTATCATCAAACTCAATGCTACACGCCATTACGCTGAGGGACAATCGATTGTTCACCTCCTGCACAAACTCTCCGCATCCTGTGAAAGTTCGCTCTATCGGGTTATTGTCTCGTCGGGTATGGAACTTGTTAAGCAGCTTATTCTACCGCTTCCATCAAGTAACTTACCGTGGGGGCTATTACTCGTATAGCCAGCTAGTGTATCCGCAACGGTCGATGTTGAGATAACCCTGAGAAGCAAAATACCCATGTCATCTTGATTACATACATGCCTCCAAGGTATCTGCCCAATGTCGGGAAAACAGCCGTGTATTCCGGTAGCCCCAACTTCAGCCGCTGTGGCATCGGAGGTTCCGCAACGTCCATGTGCGGGCCGCAAACGCCCCACCTGTCGAACGTCCCCCGACTCAGTTTAGACCCCCAACCTAAGGGAAAAGCAAATGGAAGCTGTTCCAACGGTCGAGGCTACCTATTTCCCACTCGGCTCTATCGCAAATCTTGGCCATCATGTGACGTCTCTGGATTCTGGTCCCAATTTACAGCATTTTGCTTTATCCTGACAGCATTCTCACCGGAGGCATGATTGTAATGGGGGTTTATTATCATCAAATGGCATCATCATCTTATTCGGCTGTGGAAATACGGCGCAATTGAAGGCATCATGAATTGAGCCATGAACACGGGCCAACAAAACAATTTAAACCACCGGCATCGCAATGATATACCAGGTAGTTATCTCCTGAAAGAGGGACAATGCTTGGCTTTTTCATTACAATGGTGCCAGTGCAATAGCTCTTTATTCGGGATGAATTGCCGCCCTTCCACGGGTATCTGAACATGCGGAATAACCATCTAGGTTCACTTCCCAGGATTCGGCCCCAAAATATCCAGGTACGTTAAGATCAATTCTAAGATGCCAATTTATTTATCCTTCTAGACTACTCCAAACTAACGAGTTCACGGCAGATCCTTATGAAATCAATGAGATGGCGCCAAAATCACCCAGGAACTAGCGGTGTGATTGTAGGTGCAGAAGGTTAATACCCGGGTTCTGGAAGGCAATATTCAGATCTAAATGTCGCAACCTACAGCCTGGAATCATAAACTAGGCCTTAGTTTTATCCCAAAAGATGTGTGTGTGGAGCAAATCAGCGAAATTGTGACTTCTGGAACAATATAAAGCATGCCATCGACGCCCTTTCCATCGGACCTACTTTGAAGGCACCTTTACCGCTCTTTGTCACTGTGGTTGGGCGTCGTCAATACCCTCTTTCAAAATGCTTGCCAAATCAACATTCCTTGCCTTGCTTGCTCTTTCGGCCGCAGCACTGTGCGTCGATGCTGCACCGAGCCCAAAAGATGACAAGAAGGTCCCAGCAGGTTTTGTGACCACAGATGGCACAAAATTCCAACTTGACGGCAAAGACTTCTACTTTGCTGGAAGCAATGCCTACTACTTCCCGTTCAACAATGTGCGTATTGTCATATCCGTGTATCAGATTCACCAAATGCTAATTCAAAACCTTCGATTAGAACGAAGATGACGTTTATAAGGGCCTCACGGCTGCGAAAAAAGCTGGGTTGAAAGTCTTCAGGACGTGGGGTTTCTATGACAAGAACGCCACCTTTGATCCACTAGGCCTTCCACAGTACGGTGGTGAGGGTGCTGGACCGTCTGATGTTTATTTCCAAAGCTGGGACAAAGGAGTGCCAACAATCAACTATGGCCCCAATGGACTCCAGGCATTTGATAAGGTCGTCCGCGCTGCTGAGAAGACTGGAATCAAGCTCGTGGTTGCTTTGACTAACAACGTAAGTTCCCCGCTGCCTTCTCAGACTTGCCAAACTAACAACTGGTAGTGGGCGGACTATGGTGGCATGGATGTCTACACTGTGAATCTCGGTGGACAATACCACGACGACTTTTATAGACTCCCAAAAATCAAGGCTGCATACAAGAATTACTTAAAGGCGTTTATCAACCGCTACAAGAGCTCCAAGGCCATCATGTCCTGGCAGTTGGCAAATGAGCCCCGCTGTGGCGCAGACGGCAAGCGCAATCTCCCGAGGTCAACAACGTGTGACCACAAGGTCATGACCAGCTGGGTGAAGGAGATGAGTGCCTACGTCAAGTCACTTGATCCGCACCATCTTGTCAGCACCGGTGGTGAAGGTTGGCTATCCCCAACAACTTTAAAACCAAAATCATTCAACTAACAATCTTTGCTAGGTGAATTCAACTTTGCCGGTAACGAGGATTGGGCCTACTCCTCTGGTGACGGTGGTGACTTCTACGCCGAGCTCGAGCTTCCAAACGTTGACTACGGCACCTTCCATCTCTACCCCGATTGGTGGAGCAAGACCAGCAAATGGGGAACACAATGGATCATCGACCACGCCACCGCGCAGAAGAAAGTCGGAAAGCCCGTGGTGCTCGAGGAGTACGGCTGGTTGACGGACGAGCTCAGGCTCGAGTACCTCGGCAAAGTGAGCAACGAGACCCGCATCGCCGTGATTGGCGAATGGCAACGCACCGCCGTCAAGCACAAGTTGGCCGGAACGCAGTACTGGCAGTTTGGCTATGCTGGCTACTCGTATGGCAAGAACCACAACGATGGATTCACAATCTACTTGGAGGATAAGGCGCAGGCGGATGAGTTGATCATAAAGCATGCGAAGGAGATGGATGCCCTGGGGCGGGGCCGGTAAAGCAGCCTCCCATACCACCTCGTGTTCCTCCCTCCAGGAGGAAAGCCGGGGCCGTCCCAGCCAGGGAAGCCGTTCAAGAAGGTTCGCTCGCCGGTTATGCCTTTGGTTTTAGGCCTAGGTGGGGAGTGGTGGGGGATCTTGGGGAAGATTCATTCGGCTTGATTGTCTGTCTGTCGGTAGATCAAAAAAATCAAGGGCGGTTCTGGGGGGGGGGGGGGGTTATTTTTCCAATCTCTTTTATTTTTTTACAATAGAAATAATTCTTCTTCTATATTTTCTCGTCTATTGGAATTTTAATTCAATTATACCGAGAACTCTGGATCCCGTTACTGGGAAGGCATATAGATATTGCCACCATGCATGGCCTTCCTCCTCTTCGGTGAGGGTAACTAGTAGTGAATCATGCACAGTGATAGTGATCTCTCTCGATGGGAAGGAAGGAAAGCTCGGTGCCAGAGAATGATTCGATACGAAGAGTAGAGTGGAATTGATAGACCACCACCACGTACTGGTATCAGTGTAAAGATACCTGTTGGTAGGTTTGCAGACCTACATCCTCGGGGCCCATCACTAGACTTAATTATATTACCTAAATAGGCATCTCACATCTCACTAGCGAAACTCCCACACCAACTCAACTAGGGCATTCAGAAACTTAGGGCTATCTCATCATTTTTCGGGCTTGGCAACCACCACAAATTTGTAACGAGTATAAAAAAAAAAAAAAAAAAAAAGGAAAAGGAAAATCGGGATGTGAGAGAACAAAAAAAAAAAAAGGGAGATCCAGAGAATTTTGATGGAAATTCATAGAAACCCTACGCGAGGCTCGAACTCGCAACCTCAAGATATCATATCAGTGTTACTTTTTTGATTAGAAGTCTTGCGCGCTACCATTGCGCCAGCAGGGCTGGTTTTGATGTGAGTCTGCTCCGTTTATTCACACACATACGTAATGTATTCCCAATCCATAATACTTCTTCTTCTTTGAAAGGGTACCGAGTATGATCCGAATTGAAATTGTGATTTGCGAGGGCACGGGGCTAGGTTTGCGGGGGAGGGAGAGCTAGACGGACGGATGAAGCAAGCAAGTAAGAAAGGAAAGGCTGTTGGGGTGTTGGGGTATACGTACTTAGGTAGGTGGTATTGATATATCTGTATATCTATTATATTATATAATTATTGATATTTTCAGACAAAACCCTCGTTTGATCAGTGCACCATTAATTGAGATGCGATGTATCTCAATTGCAATATCTACATAGGTAGATGTAACTACATCGATGTCGATATCGCGATCTTTATTAGTGTATGTATGTATGTATTACGCTTACTTACCCTCAAGTTTGGTTTGTAATTGTTGCAAGTATTTGCAACGTTTGTTAATGTTGGGTCACGATTTTGATGACCATGGCCATGATTATTAGGTAACGAGATTGTTCTATCAAACCTAGCTAGCTGAGTAGGATAATGATGCGGGGGGGGGTTGGGGTTGAGGTTTACTTATATCTGTTAATGTTCCGGAGGAAGGAAAAAAAAATTAAGGATCTAGTTCTTCGAGCGGAAGAGAGGGAGGGAGGGAGAGGTGATGATTCGAATTCCCGAGGGAAATTAATGTGGCCTGGGAGGTCGGCATACCTAAATATGTACCTATGTAAGTAATCATATCATGATCAGGTAGCAAGAGTTTCACTGATCATCCATTACGAAGCGGAAATTAAATCGTTTCTTTTTAATCGAGATAAAGAAAAAAAGAAAGAGTTTGGTACAGTTAGTGATTAGTTCATCTGGGACTTTCGTGTAATCTGTCTCAGATTATTATATTTTTGCATGGTAAGTTAACTAAGTAAGTATCTAAGTATGTGTACGGGATGTAATATTAATGTACATGTGAGAAGCCCTGAGACTGAAAACCCGTAGTCTACGAGAACAATGGGAGGAAGGAGGGATCACAACCAAAAGACTAGATACGAGACTGGTAACTGGCGAAGGCCAACGACTTCCCAATAAGGTAATATATAGAAGTGATAGTCTCATGCCAAGAGCCTCCACGTGCGTGCGTGAAAAACACCCCCAAAACTCTGAAGCCCATACCGGTACCAAATTTTCCGTTTTTGAGGCCCGGTAGCTTAAAGATTCTATTGTTATCGATATTGATATCGATCTAGATACTTACTTATATACCTTATAAGGTACCACCTTATGAGCCATAACCCCCCCTGGGTACTCGAATTCCTCGACTGGCTCCATGAAAACATTTAAAGTCCAAGCAAGGAATTATCCGACGTCTGGGATCATGATCAGGTCGAAATCTGATTGTAATTAGTAGAGACGAAGTCCGAACCTAGTTATAAAGTGCAGAGGGAGCTCGAGGGTTCCGACGTTCCATGAAATTCGAAATTGTATCTTGGTTGATCCGATCCTATGTATTTTTTTGGCAGCATGTCTGATAAGATCGGGGCTTTAAGCTACTGAAGTAAGCTATAGATACCTATTGTATAGCACTTCCGCCGCAATTGCAAGTAAAAAATGAAACGCGCTGCCGAGCCTACCTTATAACATCAATTATTATCTACCTCCTGTGAGGTGTTTTGTATGTACCTATCGATATGATGTGCATGTGAGTGATCGAAGAAATTTTTTGGAATCGGCAACGAATTGATTGCCAATTCGGTCAGCTGGAAACCTGTTGAATATTAATCGTCTAGCATCTTTTTCTTTAAAGACCAATTACGAAACGAAACATCCTATCTATAGTGATAGCAAGGGGAGCTTCGGGGAGGAAATGACGAGAAAAAAGCAAAAGAGTCTACAAATCTCTTTGAATTCTACAATTAGTTCTATCAAGAATTTCCCCGGCAGAAGCATGCGGACGTCAAGAATTATTAATTATATGGCGTTGTAATATTCATCAGTGCAGTGCAGCATCAGAGATTTCTGCAACCAAACCTACGGCGGTAAAAAGCCTGGGCATCAAGCCTATAGCTAAGTTACCTCCGAATCTGACAGGAATTCGAATAATATATATATGTAAAAAAGAGTCTATGGCTCTAGTTACTCGTAGACTTTTCACTTATTGTACATACCTCCATGTCGCCTGCAAGCTCAATTGAGATCCCGTGGCCTTTTCTAAATTACCTCCTACTAACTACTCCATTTTCCAAGTACTTACATTGCAATTACAAGTCCTTTCTAATCAGGAACCATTAATATTGCAATTGTCACAACATCAATCCGTGCACTGCGGGGTCATCTGCAATCGCAATCGCAATCTACAGCACCGCAATAATTATAATACACTTTATAAACATTAATGATTTATATCCACGTTGCCAAAAAACCAGATTCGAATTCGCACTGCAGAGGCCTAGCTAGCTAGGCTAACTCTTATATTAAATATTAAATATATATGTAAATTATAACCTTGACCCATGACTACGAACATTTACACGAAATTACTGCATGCTATATACCTACCTAGGTATGTAGCTATGCAACTGCGTACTTATACTGCAGGATATTATCCCTCCAATATAGAAAAATCCAAATACCTGTCAAAATTCAAATCTAATAAATACTTCGGAACACGGCCATACTCCAGAAAAAATTAAAAGATTGAAATACGCTGGTAGCCTAAATAGATCACCATATCGCCAGATCTGCAGAGACGCTGCTGCATTACTCTAGGTACCTATAGCTAGGTAGGCCTAGGTAGGATCTCCATCAACGGCTGTTAACGTTCAAATTTTGTCAAGGGTGTATATACTGAGGGGGCATACGATATATATGTAATTATTATAGCTATAATTGCAGGAACTATAGATATATGTTCAATGTTATGTAGTAATGTAAGGTACTTGATTACTCTTCACCACCTTCATAATTCACTCTTTAAAAGTGGAGTTGTTACACTGCCGGGTTTCGGAGAATTCTCGTAGAGTTTGTGGGTTCGAGTGGACGCGCAAATGGGGAAAAAAAAGCGAAGACACTAGCTGCATCTGGTATTGTAACATGATCATGATCACACGGAAAATGATTTGTAGCAAATACAATGTACTTATATTATATGGGCAGGGATTGTGGTGGTGGTATTGGAGATGTGTGACATGTGCTCGAGCTCGTGCTCTGTATAATACTAGTGAACTTGTTGTACGTACTTACTGTAGTACTTGAATCTCAAAAACAGTCAATTTGTACATTTCAGGGGATTTCGTTTTTGGAACTTGCTAACTTTTATTTTCGAACCAAGAAGTAGGTAAACTTGCCAGACTTCAGTATATACCTATCTCTATATATCTCGGCCACATAGCACGCGTGCTTTGCCCTAATCCCAACTTTGACCCCAAACAGCTGGAGTTGCGAAAATAATGGTGCTCTCTGAATACTCTTTCGTAAAACAAGTAGTGCTATATTATGTATCATTACCATATTCTGGAAGCAAGTTACGTATATATCACCAATTTAGATTGGAGAAGGTGTACTGAAGCTGATATCGATAGATCTAGAATCATCACAGAATTGAATTTAAAGGGGTACACGCAAAACGTTACTATGGACTCTGTAAAATTAATACGAACGAACGTTAATAAGCACCGGACAAACTAATCATAACATTCAAATTTTTGTAACCGCCTTTCCTGTGTAGGTACTTTCGTCCTACCTAGCTCGAAACAAAATAAAAACTCCACCAATTTCCACATTGATCAAGCCACAAAAAAAAAAAAAAAGAAAGAAAAAACACACACACAACGGTAACGGTAACGAGAAACGGTGTAAATATATTACACTCCTCATGTGGAAACACATGTACCGGTCCTGGAGTGCCTCTCCACATTTGACCATGGCCAGTCTAGGCCCTCGGCACAGTAGCACAGTACCAGTCACGAACATATCGTACGATCCAAAAAAAATTCTCCATGGATGCATAAGCATTTAATCCCCGTAACGTTGGCCACGGCACAGCCATCAGCCGTGTACGACGTTACAAGCCGAATCGGTACATCTAATAGGCATACCTAGGAGTTCGCTGGGATAGGAGAGGTAGGTAGGTATGTAGGTACTGTATAACTTACATAACGTATGCATGTAACGTTATAACCAAATCATTTTTCCCAATACCCATGAATCCCTACCATGATCTAAATAGTGTACTTTAAATTCTCCTGAATCCATGTTAGTATCTAGATACTATATACAGATTACATATACAGCAGCTCATCTCCTTTTCCCACCCCTGTAGAATTCGAATATGCCATGAAGGATGTATGTAGTACTAACTAGGAGGTATAACCCGTTTTGTCAAGTATTGTTAACAGCTAGCGGGATCGTGATCCCCCTCTAGGTAGTTCTTGTTCATGTCTTAGCACCATTTTTCATGATCTGATCGTGTTTTTTTTTTTGTTTATCTTTATATTTGTTTCTAAAGATCTAGATCTTCAACTACCAGAGTGCATGTACTGCCTTAACAGCGTTCGGTATACACATGCACGTGGAGATTCGACCCACCTAACCTTGGAAGCTAACCCCCCCTCGAGCTCCCCTCTCTATCAAGCCCACAAGAGTCGACATATCCCTCCAAATCCCTACTTGAGCGTCTATATCTAATTTCCACCCTTTCCCCCTCAATCCTTCATCCGGAAACATTGCAACGTGCAACACGAGCACTAACACTAACACTATAAAACCATGGAATTGTACATGTAATGTAATAAAACTCCACCTGCAAAAACGATCCATCCGTATACGGAATAGCTTTATATATATACTTAATAAAGTAGCATGGCATTTTGTACAACAACACATTGTAACTAGTACTAATATCAAACCCGGGAATAAAAATAAGTATGTATGTATGTACATACATACATCTGGGCACGCACCTATAAACCTAGGGTAAATCAATCATGTATGC